GCATCGCCGGCGTTCGAACCACTAGGTGTGGCACCGACGCGTGGGCCCATGCTGTGTATTAGTTTGGGCCTAAACTTGTTTAGGGCTAAATCATAACCTTATGCACTCACTGACCTCTGGGCCTACTAGTTAACAAATTTAACTAAAACTATTAAAAAAAACCCTGTTAACATGTGTACCTATGACACATGGGTCCCACTGGCCCCATTGACCAGTCAAACCGCTGACTGTGATAACCCAGTCAATGACATGCGGGTCCCACAAACACTGTTCACTATTTGACCAAGTCAACAGTCAATGCTGAGTCAGCAGTTGACCAGGCCCACTGTCTGCCTCACAAGGACATCCCTGGGTACACTTCTCTATGTATCCATGGCAATTAAGTATTTATTATTTTTCGAATTAAATTAAATCCAGAAATTAGAAAATCATTTAAAACTTTAAAAATTAATATAAAATAATTCGTAGCTCGGTTGAAAATACCTTGTACATGAAAGTTGCTCAGAACGACGAGACGAATCCAGATACGCAGTCCGTTCGTCCGCCGCACACCCCTAACCTATCGAACCCGCAACTTTCCCCCTCCAGCTCCTCTGCCCGAAAACACGGAACACCGGGAATACTTTCCCGGATGTCTTCCCCCTTCGTCGGTATCACCTACTACCGCGTTAGGGCACACCGAACACCGCGTATTGCCTTGTTATATTTTGTGATGCTTTGTTTGCTCTGTATTCATTATTTCTTCCTCCCTCTTCTCTCCGGTAGACTACGAGACCGACGCTGCTGCTGCCCAGTTCGACTACGGAGTTGACGACCCCTCTCTCTTGCCAGAGCAACCAGGCAAGCCCCCCCTTTGATCACCAGATATCGCCTACTCTTTTCTCTATACTGCTTGCATTAGAGTAGTGTAGCATGTTACTGCTTTCCGTTATTCCTATCCTGATGCATAGCCTGTCCTTGCTACTACTGTTGTTACCATTACCTGCTATCCTACTGCTTAGTATAGGATGCTAGTGTTCCATCAGTGGCCCTACACTCTTGTCCGTCTGCCATGCTATACTACTGGGCCGTGATCACTTCGGGGGGTGATCACGGGCATATACGATATACTTTACACAGTTACATTACCTGTGATACTGTTCGGAGATGGGGGCTGAAGGGGCAGGTGGCTCCATCCCGGTAGAGGTGGGCCTGGGTTCCCGACAGCCCCCGACTGTTACTTTGTGGCGGAGCGGCAGGGCAGGTTGAGACCACCTAGGAGACAGGTGGGCCTGGCCCTGTTCGGCGTTCGCGGATACTTAACACGCTTAACGAGATCTTGGTATTTGATCTGAGTTGGCCACGAGCTTATACGCACTAACCATCTACGCGGGAGTAGTTATGGGTATCCCGACGTCGTGGTATCAGCCGAAGCACTTCAGACGTCAGCGACGGAGCGGCGCGCGCTGGATTGGACTGGAACGCCACTAGGCTAGGTCTGCTTCTGGCCGCCCACGCAACGTGCAGGTGTGCTCAGGGCGATGGGCCCAGACCCCTGCGCGCTTAGGTTTAGACCGGCGTGCTGACCTCTCTGTTGTGCCTAGGTGGGGCTGCGACGTGTTGATCTTCCGCGGCCGGGCATGACCCAGGAAAGTGTGTCCGGCCAAATGGGATCAAGCGTGCTGGGTAAGTTGGTGCACCCCTGCAGGGAAGTTAATCTATTCGAATAGCCGTGATCTTCGGTAACAGGACGACTTGGAGTTGTACCTTGACCTTATGACAACTAGAACCGGATACTTAATAAAACACACCCTTCCAAGTGCCAGATACAACCGGTGGCCGCTCTCTCTCAGGGATACGAGGAGGGGATCGCCGGGTAGGTTTATGCTATGCGATGCTACTGAAGATGCTACTTGGAGATGCTACTTGGAGATGCTACTTGGAGGACTTCAATCTACTCTCTTCTACATGCTGCAAGACGGAGGCTGCCAGAAGCGTAGTCTTCGACAGGATTAGCTATCCCCCTTTTATTCTGGCATTCTGCAGTTCAGTCCACCGATATGGCCCTTTACACATATCCCCATGCATATGTAGTGTAGCTCCTTGCTTGCGAGTACTTTGGATGAGTACTCACGGTTGCTTTTCTCCCTCTTTTCCCCCTTTTCCCTTTTACCTGGTTGTCGCAACCAGATGCTGGAGCCTTGGAGCCAGACGCCACCGTCGACGATGATTCCTACTACACTGGAGGTGCCTACTACTACGTGCAGGCTGCTGACGACGCCCAGGAGTAGTTTAGGAGGATCCCAGGCAGGAGGCCTGCGCCTCTTTCGATCTGTATCCCAGTTTGTGCTAGCCTTCTTAAGGCAAACTTGTTTAACTTATGTCTGTACTCAGATATTGTTGCTTCCGCTGACTCGTCTATGATCGAGCACTTGTATTCGAGCCCTCGAGGCCCCTGGCTTGTATTATGATGCTTGTATGACTTATTTATGTTTTAGAGTTGTATTGTGATATCTTCCCGTGAGTCCCTGATCTTGATCGTACACATTTGCGTGCATGATTAGTGTATGATTGAATCGGGGGCGTCACATGCACTGAGGGTCCAAGTGCCTAAGGAATATCATCGTGCATTCGCGCATGTAAATACATCCCCTCCCCGATTGTTGTGGACACAAAAGAAAATATAAGAAGTGAAGATGGGTACACACACACTCAAGTGCGTGCTTTATTAAACACATGGCACTTCTAGGCGAGGTGTGTGGTGACATGATGCGACGGTTCACAAGACAGCATTCATTGTATTATCACATCATTATAAATATTAAATGTATTTATCTAGTTTATCTGAATGTGCAAAAATATTTGTAACTAATAATCCATTTGCCCACTTAAGAATCACCGAAGCTTAAGCATGTCATTGTGGTGATTGTGTGCACCGATGAAATCCCTGAAATATAGAAAAGTGACTAATGATGACTATCGGTTATTCAATAAAGTGGCATGTTCTTATCTAACTGCATTTGTTAAGATTCTTGGATGGAGGAGCAAAGGATTTCATTCTGAATTATTTTTACATCAGTTATTGATTCTGTTAATACATATTCTACCTCACATGACCTCGTCAGAAACAAGTTTGTTTTACGTATGCCATGTACTCAAAAAAGTTCCCCACAAAAAAAAGTTCCAAAATCCCGGGTTCGCCTTTTCTGACAGGCAATTGAGCATCTTTCACTGAAGTTGTGTGTGTGCTCAATCAATCTTCAGCTGTGGGACTTCACTGAACCTGGTTCACAGAGCTGTTCATGTGAAGACTGCGAACTTCTTGTGTTCGGTTCTTGGGTGTGCTGCTTCCATCGAATACATCCACGAAATGAATTTGTTTACTTCTGTGTTCTACTACCGTTTCAGTCTTTTACGATGCTATAAAACGGGGTCACAAGCATTCGATATACATATTGTAAAAATAAAAAATAAAAAAATCAGAGATATATGAGCACGTCCTCATGATTTTGCTGTGCCGCTTCAACAGAATAGAAGTGCCAAGTCTCTGCACCTCTCGATTCCGCAGTAATTCGTCTATCTGACAAACGAAAGAAACATTACTCAACAAGGTAGTAAGAATATCATCACTACTTCCACAACATTTCCAACCGATTGCATGCATCTTCCAGAAGAAAAAAACAATGATTGCATGCATATTCACCGGCTATGCACTTATGCAGAACACACTCCACAATCTTCCGGCCCAATGAGGACATGAATAGGCCGTCCAACTCGTCAAGATAGCTCCAGGCATCTTGACACACGGTGTTAGGCGGCTCAGGCGTCGCCTTCACCGTCGTCGCTGTCATGGTGGAAGCGCAGCGCCGGCGCGTGCAGGCAGAGGAAGACGGCCTTGTTGGTGGCACACGGCGACCAACTCGCGGTAGACCGGCCTGCAGGTAGCTTTCGTCATAGACCCCGCATGCCGCCACGGCGACCTCGTGGCTGGTGTTGGCCGTGGCAGTCGTTTGTCCTATAGTACGTTATGGAGTGAGCCAATTGTTTAGCCACCGGTCAAAATTTGGCTCACGGACGACCAACGTAGGCGATCGGTGGTCAGCGCACCGACCGGCGTCATGTAGGGCAGGCTGGCCAGCATTGCATCCGCAAGCTAAGGTGGCGCACACGAGGGCCATGGCCGCCGCCCATGCTAGGGCTCGCGGCCGCGTCAGCTAGGTCTGCATTTAATTCCCGTTAAGTCGGAATTGAGCGGATGGTGCAAACAGCATGGAGATCGAAGTTTTCTTTGGCCACTCGATTCATGTTGACAATGACAGGGCACGTATAATCTATCATGAATCTTGTGATGCCGATTGCTCAAGAGAAAGTAAGAACTAGTCTAAGGATGTGCGCTCTGCTGCGCAAAGGCAGTGTGCATGTACTAACTAACTCTGTATTTAAGGTTTGCTAGTACTATAATATGTTTTGGGATGCATGGAATAATATACAACAAAACAGGATGAAACAAGAAATTCCACCCACATTTATTTCTGATTGGTACAAAACTATAAAGACTTAACTGACCGATCAACGCTCACATACATAGGAAAACAGAACACACTCGCATGACAGACATAAGCAAGTAAAAAAGCAAGTGCCTTTTTGAAAAAAAAAGTAAAAAGCAAGCAAGGAGCAGGTGGACATCGACCGCTTGAAACCAACATGCAAGAAACACACATATCCAACGAACCAAAAGTCTTGCATGAATGACGCGCTCACTAACATGCCTTTTCCCTGACGCACTGCACATTATCTTGGGCACTTTTGCCCTGAGCCTTCCACGCCTTCTTCATCTTGCAGAGGCACGAGTGGCCTCCGAAGGCGATGCAGCAGTCCACTCCAACCTTAATGACCTTACCCCCCGAAAGATGCCTATTTGCAATGGCATTTTTCATACCTTCTCCAAAGCTCTTGAAACACGCATTCACGACGTCCTGATCGACACCGTCACACACCGGCACACCGCCGGCGGCAGGTACCTGGCCCACAGCAACGGCGCACATCAGCGCGACCAGCGCCGCCACGGCAACGAGCCTCGGGAGCATTGCTACAACCATGACCAGATCGATGCTGGATATAGCTGATCGAAGGTCGCTGCACTCACTCACTGCTTATGCCTGGTGTGGGTTGTTTTGGTGTAGAGGTCTGCCGGAGCTTTTATAGAGCTAGATATGGGCATTTGGAGTCCTAGCTGGACTCCATTAGACGACACGTGGCCAATGGCCGAGTGGGTGGAATACAACGTGCCTATTACGCCCATCCATCCATCATCCATCGGCTGCGCGGCGCCGCAGGGGATAACGATCTATTCTTTGATCAACAAAGCGTACTTTGGGATATACTTCCTCCGTCTAAAAATAAGTGTTTTGAGGTCCAAAAATAAGTGTCTTGAGGTTAGTATAAATTTATACTAGAGCTAGTATAAAGTTGAAACACTTATTTTGGGACGGAGGGAGTAGCACTAAACTACTACGAGGTTTATAATAAACTATATTAAACTAAAATTTCCTAAGAAAAGTAAATTAAACTAAACAACGGTCCATCACAAAAGTCATACGTGACAGGAACATCCATCTATGAACCTATACTTTTCTTCCTGCCCCACGCACGAGTCACGTCGCACCATGCATTCATCAATACAATCCCAGCTAGACAGAACGCACATAAGGTCGGCTAAGATCATCTACAACCGGGCGCCACAAATCCGTCTCATACGGCCGGGCGGGCTTTTCGGTCATTGACCGGTCATGAAAATTTGACCCAGACGGACTCCTTAAACGGGCCTCAAATGCCCGGGCTGACCGGCACCCCTCATATCCAGCCCAAATATGGGGCGGATATGGAGGTGTCCGGGTGCGCCCGACATGTCGTACATGACAACCGACCCCATTGCAAATTGCACTTAATCCACCAAACCCTTCCTCCTTCTCACGCTGCCCTCCAACCTTTCCCACGCCCGAGCCCTTACCATCCGCCACCCTTACTCCCCATCCTCACCATCGGTCCCGATCCATCGGTGTAGATGTCGGCGTAGACGTCAAGGATGCGAAGATCATGTTGGCGGACGAAACCCTCTTGGATGAGTATGCAAAGAAGTGGCTTGCGGACAAGAAGAAGAATATCGACGACATTAGGGAGTACGAGGCGACGAGGGCGGCAACGGCGGCAGATCATGCAGCCAGGATGCAAGCGGAGGAGGCAAGCCGGATGCAGGCGAGCAGGACGCAGTCCGCCTGGGCCGGAGCATGCGCCATGGATGGCTCCTGGCCAGTGATCCGAAGCCATCCGTCACGCTCGGACATTGATTTCATTTTGCATGTCCGGTTTGTTGAATTATGATTTGCTTTGCTTTGTTTCGAACTGTTGAATTCGGACAATCTGTATCGTATGACGTGCATGGATTGCATGGATTTGAGGATCGGCATTTGAGATATGTGGATGAGCGACGCAATACATGAGGGGCCCGTGGACGCTGTCCGCGGATGCGTCCGAACGCGCTTGCGGGCATATAGGAGGCAGGATTTTGCCAAGTCCAGCTATAGATGCTCTAACCAGACTCTTCAAATCATACACTGCAAGCCCTGTCACACACTACAAACTGCCAAAGCCTCTGAAATGTCGGTTCATCTTCCAAAATGCTCATCACAAGTTCACACCAGTTAAATTTCAGTGTCACGTTCCAAGTTAAGCCGGGACAGCAGCCACACTACACCGACCAGGTTCTAAATCTAGACACGGCTAGAGCTCATGAAAGGAACAACACATGCGGACACAATTCATGAGCATCGATCGACTAGTTATAATCCCTCGGCATGTAGGATGGCATCAGCGCCCAAGTCCACGCTGCCTGCCGCCGGAATCACACAAAAACACATGGAGTCCCGAGGATAGGATGGGAACGCTGCTCTGGTTACGGTTCCGTCGAATCTGTCTGTGCAAACATGACAGTGAACTAATATTCAGACAGCTCAAACTACACAAATTCACAAGAAAAATGGAACAGATTGTGATAGTACATGGTGTTTACATGCAGAAGCACATTTGTCCCGCTAGTAATAATATTGATCTGAATTGGATTTGAGATATGTAACTGCAATTTTTCCCTTTTACGTGTTGCAGTTTAATTTGCAATGTAAGTATGCA